TCGGTTCGGTTTGAATTGGATTTCAAACTTTGGATCCGCTAACCAAACCGATCCAATCAGTTTTTCATTTTTTGGATCCAATCCAATTCACCAATATTATCGAAACCAATAAAATTGGATTGGATTGGTCAGTTTTGACGGATTGGTTTGGAGCCCTAACCTGTTGCATGTTTGGACCTTGGTGGACACCTATTAGAATAAAAGAAAAGTTACAAGAATTGAAAAGGCAAAAATTTGCATACCAAGTAGAAATTAGGAATCTAGAAGAATTAATAAAATCACCATAAGTAAGTAATTATCCCAAAAGGAAATTAGAAGTACAGAATAGCATAATAAGGAACTAGTATCATTTAGAAGTTTGTAAAGAATCCATAGAAGCATTTCAAGAGCATTTAGGCATACTAAAAAAAAGAAGATAAACTTAGAAAGTGTAGCATAAGAAATTCATATGGTGTTTGATAATTTAGAAATAAATATGATTGAGCATAATTTTGATAATATAGTTGATAAACTCATAAATGACATAGATAATTTAAATGAAGAACAATATAAAGAAAAATATAAGACTTATGATTTTGGATTGCATAGATTATCAGATGAAGAAATGAAAGACTTAATTTTAAATATAGGATTAGAACACATTTTAGGAGAAAAAAGAATATCAAAATATGTTAATTGAAGTAGAATGCATGCAAGCAGAAGACCAATATAGTTCAACTGGACCATCTGTAGTTAATGCAAGTAGAACAGACTTGCAAAACCTTAGACAAACTAATAAATCATATAGAGAAAATAATGAGGAAGCTGGTAAGGATGCCTTTCAATAAGAAACAATTGGACTAAGAAAAAATAGAACCCCTTATAAAGGAATTGAACAAATTAGTTTGGCAAGAAATATATTAAATTTACATCATGTAGACCCACAAATTATTAGTAATAATAAAGATATGTTAGATTACTTTGAACATGCTTTAGATGGAATGGTTTTTAATTATTTCCAAACATGGAAAACTAAAAATCCAAGACAACATTAAGTAGCAAAAGAAATGTTTAATATAGATGCTTTTGTTAAATTAATTAAATATGAATTTTTAGACCATAATAGATTAGATGGTAGAAATGAACAAGAACAAATTAGAGCCATAAGAAATTTAGAATAATTACAAATTTGTGATTTTCAATATATAAGTTAATATACTTCAGATTTTTTTCAAATATTTAGGTAGAACTGGCAGAATTGATGATCTTAATTTATTAGACACTTAGATGACTAAAATTAAAGGACCAATAGGAGAAAGAATTTAGAATGAATGACAAAAACCCCCTAGAAAATTAGATGTATCTATAAAGGCAAGAATTCAACATTGTATATGATATACGATCAGAATGTAGTCAAATTAAAACAAAGAGACAAATTAGAAAACAATTTTACATGAGTTGTAAAAATATAGATTTATCTAAATTGTATGGATGTCATAGAAAATAAAAGCATAAAAGGCTATATAAAAAGAGTTATAGAAAATATAGACATTATGAACAACATAAAAATTTTAGAATTCAACCTTCAAAAAAAACTTTTAGAAGAAGAAAATATATCCATAAATAATTTAGAAAAAGTAAACCATAGATTAGAAAATATAAAGTACCTAATAAGAGTACATGTAAATGTTATCTTTGTGGTGAAGTAGGACATATTAGACCTAAGTGTCCCAAATTAGGAAAGCAACCTAGAGAAAAAATACAATTAATTGAGCCATTTCAATTAGAAGATGATGAAGACTTATAACCAATTTATAGTCTTGGTGATAATTTAAGTGATAATAAAAGTATTTATAGTGTCAATGCCTTATACTTAGAGTCATAATCAGGCTACTCTAGTAATTCAAATAATGAATTAAATGAATATATGTGTATGTTTGAAGAAAAAAATGGGCATGAACAATTTAAATATATAAATTTAGGATGGCCTCAAGAATTGATTACAGAAAATAGTGGTAGAAAAATATTTCACAAAGACAGTAGTTTATTGTAAATCTTGTTATAATAATAAATCAACAGAAATAAATACAGTTGATATAATAGATAATAATCAAAAGAACAATAGCCCTAACATAGAGAAACAAAAGACTAGTTCGTTAATAACAATTAATTGTGAATTAGAATTGTCAAAGGAACATAAAATTCAAACAACAACTATGATAGATACATGAAGCACAAAAAATGTAATAAAATAAGAGTTAGTGCCAGAACAATTTAGGCAAAAATTGGCTAGACCAGTAAGAATAATACAGTTTGATACAAGACCTGTATATCTAACGCATCGTATAAATAATATACCTATTAGGTCAGAATGGCAACAGTTTAACTTTCTCTTAACTTTTATATCCCTAGAAGGATCATATCCCTTTATCTTAAGATTAAAAATTTTGAAAAGTTTACAAGGAGAATTTTTGTATGCACCTCCAGAAATTACATTTTTTTTAAAGAAAGGCATAACCACAATTGATCAAAGTAATATATTAGAGTATTACAATTTTATTAACATAGAAGAACAAAATTTTAAAGAATACTATAATATGGAAGAATTAGAAGAAATAAATGAAGAAAAAATAGATTAACAAAACAATTTGGAATATGATGATATAATATTTGAACATAAGTATCCAATTGTTGTAGAAATAGAGCCTTTGGAACTTATGCAAATACATAGACCAAAGACTTTAGAAGATTTATTACAATTAGTTGAACAAACTAGAATTATAGGAGAAGATCCCCAATTACATTGGAATAAGAATAAGATTTTGGCAAAATTAGACATTATTAATCTAGACTTAACAATTAAAACAACATATATGCCACGTAACTTATTAGATAAGCAAGAATTTGAACAACAAATAAAAGAGCTTTTAAATTTAAAAGTAATTAGACCTTCAAAATCTAGTCATAGATCATCAACATCCTTTGTAGTTAGAAAACATTCAGAGCTTAAAATAGGTAAAGCTAGAATAGTGTATAATTATAGGAGATTAAATGATAATACTTATGAAGATAGTTATAAATTACCAAATAAAGATGAACTTATGAATAAAATCCAAGAAAGTAAATATTTTAGTAAATTTGATTGTAAATCAGAATTTTGACAAATTAGACTAGCTGAACAATCAATTCAATGGTCAACATTTACTTGTCTAGAATGACATTTTAAATGGCTTGTCAGGCCATTTGGATTGAAAAATGTACCACCGATCTTTCAAAGAAAGATGGATCAGATTTTTTAGAAGTTTGATAAATTTTGTAGTGTATATGTAGATGATATACTTGTTATGATCATTTTTGTAGTGTAGTGTATATGTAGATGATATACTTGTTCATAGAAATGAACATAGAAATCACTTAGAAATAAATTTGCAAGAATTTATTGATAATGGTATAGTAATAAGTAGGAATAAAGTAGAGCTTGAAAAACAAGACATACAATTTTTAGGTATGTATATCAAGTCATGAACTATACAATTACAAGAACACATAGCTAAAAAAGTGTTAGAATTTCCAGATAAATTAGAAGCTAAAAAACAATTACAAGCATTTTTAGGATTATTAAATTATGCTAGAAGTTTTTTTTTTATTTAGGAAGAAAAATTGTAGCAATGCATAGTAAAACCAGTAAAACAGGTCAAAAATATTTTAATAGTGAATATAATAAATAAGTTCAAAATATTAAACAAGATATAAACTTAAGCATTTAGCATTACCATTAGACAATAATTACAAAATAGTTGAAACAGATGCATCATCAATAGGATGAGCAGGAATTTTAAATTAGAAGAAACATAAAGAACCAAAATCTGAAGAAAAAAGTTTGTAGATATGCATCTGGTAAATTTAGTGATATACAGGCTAGACTTCCAGCCACTGACTTAGAAATTTTAGGAGTTATTAACTCCCTTGAAGCATTTTCATTGTTTTTACATAATGAGATATTTACTATTAGAACATATTGTCAGAATATTGTTTCTCATTATAATAAAATTACTACTAACAAACAAGCAACCTGAAGATGGGTTAATTCTGTAGATTCTATTACAGGAAATGAATTTAGACCAGTATTTGAGCATAATAAAGGTATGGATAATGCTAAAATATGATATTTGGTTTGAATATGTTAGGTTGAGTTTTATTCTTCTCCATAAGGAGGTATATATAAGAGTTTACATGAGTGCTTTACAAGGAATTAGATACGGTAAAAGATTAGGGAAGTATCTCCTAATTATACAATGATTTGACAACTATATAAAACAGGAAAGTAAATCCCTTAATTAATCAAGGAAATAAATCTCCTTGATTAATTAGGAGACTCACTTCAACACTCCTCCTCAAGTTGGTGCATATACGTCACCAATGCCCAACTTGGTAAGTGAGTCATGAAATACTCTGCCACAAACAGCTTTGGTTAAGATATCTGCCAGTTGATCTAATTAGGAGACTCACTTCAACACTCCTCCTCAAGTTGGTGCATATACGTCACCAATGCCCAACTTGGTAAGTGAGTCGTGAAATACTCTGCCACAAACAGCTTTGGTTAAGATATCTGTCAGTTGATCTTCTGATTTTATGAATGGTAGGCAGATGATCTTCTTCTCAATTTTTTCTTTGATAAAATGTCTATCCACCTCAACATGTTTGGTTCGATCATGTTGAACTGGATTATGGGCAATATCAATGGCTGACTTGTTATCACATTGTAACTCCATTGGCTTTTCTGGCTTGAAACCCAATTCTGTCAATAGCCTTATGATCCATAGTAATTCAGAAACTCCGTGAGCCATTCCTCGATACTCTGCTTCAGCACTAGACCGAGAAACCACTTTTTGTTTTTTACTCCGCCAAGTGACTAGGTTACCTCCCACAAAAGTGACGTAACCTGAAGTAGAGCGTCGATCAGTAATGGAGCCAGCCCAATCAGCGTCTGTATATCCAACAACTTCGTGATCTCTAGTTTTTCAAAACATTAATCCTTTTCCAGGGGCTGACTTTAAGTACCTTAAGATCCGATCAACTACATTCCTATGAGACACATTGGGAAAATGCATAAACTGACTAACCACACTCACAGCATATGCAATATCTAGTATTGTGTGGGCTAAATATATCAACCTTCCAACAAGGAGTTGGTACTGTTCCTTATTAGTTGGTTCTTGATCCATGTCTTCACATAACTTGTTATTCATCTCAATGGGTGTGTCAACAGGCTTACATCCAAGCATTCCTGTTTCAGTGAGTACATCTAATACATACTTCCTTTGGGACAGAAATATACCAGTTGTGGACCTTGCTACTTCAATTCCGAGAAAGTACTTCAGATCACCTAAATCCTTCATCTCAAATTCCTAAGACAAATACTTCTGCAATTTCAGTTGCTCTTCTGTGTCGTTTCCAATTACGACTATGTCATCCACATAAAGAATCAATACAGTAAGTCTTCTTCCATCACGCTTCAAGAACAAAGTGTGATCTGCATTACTCTGTATATATCCAAAATTCTTCATGGATTTAGTGAATTTGCCAAACCATGCCATGGGAGATTGCTTTAACCCATACAATGACTTTCTGAGCTTGCAAACTTGATTCTTCTTGTCACGACCTAAGTTACATCCTGGTGATAAGTCCATATATACTTCTTCTTCCAAGTCTCCATGTAAGAATGCATTTTTTTACATCAAACTGATGTAATGACCAATCGAGATTTGCTGCTAGAGACAAAAGGACTCTGATAGTTTTAATCTTGGCTACTGGGGCAAAGGTCTCTTGGTAGTCGATCACATATCTTTGTGTGTACCTCTTCGCCACCAATCTAGCTTTATATCTTTCAATGGATCCATCTGCTTTGAGTTTCACAGTATAAATCAATCTGTATCCCATTGTCTTCTTTCCATGAGGTAATGACACGAGTTCCAATGTGTCATTCTTCTGGAGAGCTCGCATTTCTTCATTCATGGCTTCTTTTCATTTGGGGTCTTCTAGTGCTTCAGTTACACTGTTGGGGACATATATGTCGGCCAACTGCTTCACAAAGTATACCCGTGACTCTGATAATCTGTTGAGAGACATATAATTGTTGATGGGATATTTTCCTTTTGCATTAGGATCTGCTTCGTAGTGGACTGGACGTTTGACACGGTTCTTCCTTTTTGGAATTTGATATGCTGGCTCTGTGCCTTCTGAAATCAAATCATTATGGGATAGTTCATTAATGTTTTCAGTTTCAGGAAAATATGTCACCTGAATGACATCCTCAGCAGGTGATTGGTGTGGTACTGGATCTGAAGAATTCTCCGGAGCGGGCAAAAACTCCTCAATTTTCTCCTCATGAGTTTGGCAGCAAGGAGACGACCGGTCGTGGTCCTCAGACGACCGGTCGTGGTCCTCTGGCGACCGGTCATTTTGAAGTAGATCAAGCCTAGGAGGATTTCCGGGGAGTGACCAGTCGCTTCCAAGTTGCGACTGGTCATTTTCAGGTCGATTCATATGTGACCGGGCGCTTTCAGGCAGAGTCTCTTGCGACTGGTCCCGTGAATCCTACGACCAGTCGTTTTCAGGTAGAAATGAATATGAAGGAACAAATTCTGAAATTTGGGAAGTGTTGGCATCGCGATGCTCCTCCTCTACGGCTGAAAAATATATATCTTGTTCCCGGAACATAACATCCATAGAAGTATAGAATTTTTACTAGGAGGATGGTAACACCGGTACCCTTTCTGATGAGGGGCATAACCAATGAAAACACATTTTTCGGCGCGGGGATCCAATTTGCTACGTTGGTGATCATGTAAGTAGACAAAGACCACACAGCCAAAAATCTATGGTTCCAGGTTTTTGGTAGGAGGTATTTGGAGATGGTGGTGGAGTGTTTGAAGGGGGGTTTTGAAATGTAGGATACTAGAGGGAATCCAATTGATGAGGTATGTTGCAGAGACGACAGCTTCACCCCAAAAAGATCGTGGCATATTGGCGCCAAAGAGAGAGGCACGAACTACTTCCAATAAGTGTCTGTTCTTTCTTTCAGCCACCCCATTCTGTTGGGGAGTGTAAGGACATGAGCGTTGATGTATGATGGCATGATTTTGTAAGAACTGGGTAAGATCATGGTTGAGAAATTCTCTGTCATTGTCGGAACGAAGAACCTGAATTCTTGTATGAAATTGTGTCTCCACCATTTGATAGAACTGTTGAAACTTGGAACTAACTTCCCCTTTTGTTGTGAGAAGGGAAACCCAGGTCATGCGTGTGCAATCATCAATAAACGTGACAAACCATCTAGCTCCCCCTGGAGTGGTAATTTTAGTCGGGCCCCAAACATCAGAATGAACAAGAGAAAAATGAACCAAACTTTTATATAAACTTAAGGGAAAAGGAACACGATGGCTCTTAGCTAGTTCACAAATGTCACACTTAAAACTGGAAAGATCTAAATTGGAAAATAAGGAAGGGAATAGCTTCTGTAAATATCCAAACAAAGCATGTCCAAGACGGCGATGCCACAACCATACTTCAGAAGTTTGCTTCTCAACACTCGCACCCCCAATTTTGTAAGCTTGACTGAGGCTGGCTTCATTGGCAGATGCCAAGTCCAAATAGTAGAGTTTGCCCCTCCTAGTACCACAACCAATCGTCTTGCTGCTGAGAATGTCCTGAAAAACACAATGAGTAGGCCAAAAGGTTACAGTGCAATTCAAAACCGTAGTAATTTGGGCAACAGACAAGAGATTATGATGTAATGATGGAACAATCAACACAGAATCCAAAGTGAGGGAGTCAGAGAGAGAGAGGGAACCCTCCCCAATTACTGGAGAGGGGGTACCATTGGCATTAGACACCACCGATTGAGAAGACGGTGTATGAGAGGTAATTTGTTCAACCATTATGATGTAAGGATGGAACAATCAACACAGAATCCAAAGTGAGGGAGTCAGAGAGAGAGAGGGAACCCTCCCCAATTACTGGAGAGGGGGTACCATTGGCATTAGACACCACCGATTGAGAAGACGGTGTATGAGAGGTAATTTGTTCAAGATCAAAGGTCATATGGTTAGTGACTCCGGTGTCAATGACCCATGTGTGTTTCTTTAAAGAACTATGCAAAACATAACATTGGGTACCTGTGGTGGCAATTTAGGAGGCGGTGGTTTAGGTAAATGAGACGATACCCATGGCAGCGGAAGGATGTAAGAATAAGAGTATATGAGGATGTGGGTATGAAGATCTGAATATGAATATGTAAATATGAGGAATTTGATTTAGGGTTTGTGTTTGAAGAAATTTGATATGAGGATTTACGGTTTGTGTTTGAAGAACTTTGATATGAGGATTTAGAGACAACCGAGGATCGATTGCTCTGATACCATGCTAAAATATGATATTTGGTTTGAATATGTTAGGTTGAGTTTTATTCTTCTCCATAAGGAGGTATATATAAGAGTTTACATAAGTGCTTTACAAGGAATTAGATACGGTAAAATATTAGGAAAGTATCTCCTAATTATACAATTATTTGACAACTATATAAAATAGGAAAGTAAATCCCTTAATTAATCAAGGAAATAAATCTCCTTGATTAATTAGGAGACTCACTTCAACAGATAATACTTTAGCAGACATCTTATTTCGTATTATTCATCAACAAGTATGCAATATTTTGGAGTATCATCGTCTGGCAGCAAAAATAATTGTACACCATCACAGGGTGGTAGTCCATTAAGCATAAGTAGTCAAACACGACGAGTAGTAAATATGTATTATTATAATGGAATTCTTTTTTTTTTTTGGTCTAAATTATAATGGAATTCCAATACAAGAAATTAGAAATCTTGTTTTAAAGTACCGTACCCAAGCATAATTGGCAGAAAAACAAAATGTTCTTCTGGATAACTTTTGGAACATTATAATTAATAATGAAAGCATGAAAGAGGGCATGAGTAACTTATTAAAGCCATTAAGCAAGAGTTTTTAGCTTATAATTATGATTATAAAAGAGCAAAACAACAATTTTCTTTTTTGCATGCTAAAAATGAAGAACTGAAGAAAAAGCAGGAAAAAATAGTAAGAAATTTTAGAATTATGAATTTAAGATGTCAAAATTTAAGCATGATTTTACAAGAACAAGAGGCTAATGACTTCAACTTAATCGAGAACAATAAAGAATTTTCCCTTGAGCAAAAAACTAAAAATCCATATTTTCTTCAAACCTTAGCTAGAGAGGTATAGGTTTTTACCATAAGATATTAAGGGTCATATGATTAGATTAGAATATGAACAAAATACAACTCTTCAGTTATACATTCAAGCGTTTCTTTTTAATTTAAAAAATCATCCACAACTTGGTATAAAAATTATTACTAAAATTTGTTCTCATTATACTATTTATTTAGCTAGTATTAACATGGTGGAATATAGAGTGTGAGAAATTTAATATTATTTAATTTAATTTTAATTTTCTATTTGAATGGAAATTAATAAAGTCCATTGGGTTAAAGACATGACCATTGGGTTATTATAATGGCCCAACTATTTAGAAGTTTGTGTGGGAGCCTAAGTAGAGCATCGAATGTTCTTCAAATGGGGAATGGCAACTCTTCATATATGTTTGGAACCCTATCAAAGACCTAGGGATGCATTGATTGCCTTTTAGATTGGGATACCTTTTTGGAAATGGTATTTCATCATCTATAAATAGAACAATCCTCCTGCAGTCATTTTATTCAATAAATTCACTACATACAGACTTCCATATATATATATATATATATATAGAGCATTAGAGTTTTCATTCTTTCCAAGAGAGGTTCATGCATAATTTGGTTCAAGGTTCCTCTTCTTTCACAAGGAAGGGAGTCGTTGCATCCTGGGAGGCGAGCACTAGTGAACCATAAGCACCAGTTTAAAGTGTAAGTAGTCTTAATGTCAGAGTGTCCAACACTTGCCTCAACTCAATTAAGGTTCTTCTAATTCAATTCTCATTTTGTAAAAATATGTTCTGTTTGCAGTATTTATTTGTTTATTTTATAGCAATTTAGTACTTATATTTCCAACATAAAGAACTGCATTTAGAGCATAACCAAAAAACTATCACAGTTACTCCAGGATTTTTTAGCAGAGTATGGTTATTTAGGTCAACTTTATATTGAAAATAGTCATCATTTAGATTCATTTACCTTAAAGTTAAAAGAAGTTATAGGTTTTTATATCCCTCTATAGAAAAACGTAAAATTAGATTTCACCAGCATACTTCCAGAGTGGTTTACAGATAGTATTTACCCAGATAGGGTATAACATAGTATTATTATTTCTCATAATGAACTGCTTAGTCTGGCAGAATCCGTAA